TTCTTTGAGCCTTTACCTCCCACACTCCCATCAGTCACCCAGCCCAATTCGTCCTCTTGCTGAGACTTGAGTTCCAAGTCTTTAGTGAGGTCACGGTGATCGTCCATTTCCTCGTCGCTGTCCTTCTGTACAAATTTGCGTTCCCGCCTCGTAGCATCCGTAAAGGATTTTAGGGGAGACCGGAAAGGCGATGTTGGCAGCGCGCGGTTTGGAGTAGTACTTCTTGCGCCAGAAATCTTTGGACTTCGTGAGGAAGCTTCTGAGCGACCTAGGATCGCTCTGAGGGGCGATAAGGGTTCTTCCTCATCCTCTTCTTCGTCCGTCAAATTGCTGTCTCGATGAGGAGGTGGGAGTGGACGAGAGCCATAGAGACTCAGTTTGGGTCGTGTCTTCAATTGTTCGCCTATTGGTGAAGGAGTCGAGATGGCAGCCGAAGACCCAGAGTTGAAGGATGTGTTGGCGCTGTGCTGTCGACCGGCATTTTCACTCATCAGTTTCGGATGAGCTAAAATATGTTATTCGTCATGATTTTCATTGATCATAAGGATCACGTACTTTGTTGTGAGGGTGACCCTGGTTCGTCCTGCAGCTCACTGAGATATGACGGCGGGCTTGAGCCTGTAGATTGCACTTCGCTTTCATGTGTTTTACCAACTAATGAGATAGATTAAGAAAAATATATGAGCCATGAAATGGTATCCAAACAGACCACGACAATGTCGAAGTCAATTGACGCAATGGGAACAGCACAGTAACTCACGCCGTGAACGTCTTTGATCTGATGTCTCATCCTCTTCAGATTCAGCTTGATCTATTTCTTTCATCTTCTGCCTCCATTCTCCTAGTCGCAAACTGTGAGACGGTAACGATGTCGATTCCGAAAGACCTTGATGTGATGAAACCGGAAAAGTTGAGGAAGATAAGTTATCACTGATCGATTCGCTATTCTCGTGCTCGTTCACGACCTTTGGCTTGCTCCCATACGTGCGCCGAGAACGCTGAATAGGTTTGGGCTGGTCATCTTGGATATTGATGAAGGGATTCTGTCCATCAACATCCATGGATAAAAAGCGAGCACTTTGAGTGAATGGCGAGCCGCCTGGTGAGAGGGTCAGAGTCGGTGGAAGTCAAACCGGAGAGTCCACGGTTCCAGGGTCCCACATACACGCTTCAGTCGGAGCTCTAATTTCAATTCAAACTCAGGGTTCGTGATTGTAAAACATATGTATAGAAAGAAATATAACACGAAGTACAGCTTATTCGCGAATCTTGAGTTGACCCAGGAAAGCACCCTTCTCCTCCACAGTTTGGAACTTGCCATGACCAAACTTGGAGGACGTATCGATGAACTTCAATTGTACTTTCTCCAAATCTCGTCGGGATGTGTGTACCATAAGACTCTTTCGGATAGTCAAAACACGCTTCTTTGTTCCGGGAACGCTACCCTTGAGCATCACGAAGTCGTTCTTGACAATGCCATAGTGCGGGAAGCCACCAAGTGGTGTGATCGTCTTGTCTGTGGCATCAGCATCTGTAGAACCGTTCTTGGCATCTGTCCCAGATCCAATACGGTAGATCTTCTTGTTGAGTTCTGTTCGGTGGTGATAACCGTCTAAAGCACAGGGTGAGCGTGCGTTACATAAGATCACAGGATCAACTTACTTTGACCAGCACGAGCAACGCTGAACATGACCTTGCTTGGATGCCAAGCTCCAATACAAGCAACTTTTCTGAGACCTTTGTGGGTCTTTCGGGGCAACTTCTTTGTTCCCCAGCGAGCCGTTACACCTTCAAATCCATGACCCCTAGTGACACCAATAACATCGACCACTTCATCTTGCTCAAAAATAGTCGACACTTCAACTTCCTTCTCGAATAGACCAGCCGCGAAGGCTACTTTATCGGGAATGCTTCCGCCATTGACTTGGATCTCCATGAGATGCGCCTTCTTCTGCTTCAGTCCAGTCCTACGAATTTGAGTGTGAGCCAAGACTCGAACGACTGTGCAGTATTTGCGGATTCTCTCGAGTTCACGCTCAAGATTCTTCTTTCCGGCCTCATCAGACATCTAGGTAATCCGTCAGAAACATAAATAGATGTAGGTGTGAATGCAAGGTCACCTTCTTTGCGTATTTGGTGAAGGCCTTCTTCTTGCTTCGATACCAATTCTTGTAGAAGCGACGCTTCAGCTCGTCTGACAAGTGCGATGCCCAGACAGTGGTCAGAGTACGAAGACCACGAGGGGTCTCAACGTATCCAACGACACCAACAATGCAGAGTGGAGGGGTTTCGATGACGGTAACAGCTTCGACGACCTCCTTCTTGTGCATTTCTGATATTGTACAGTTAGCGTATAGATTGGAAGCCTAGATTGATTACCCACTAGATCCCGGTCTCTCAAGATCTCTTACTACATGGGTCATACCAGCCTTGTATCCAAGAATGGCTGTAAGATGAACGGGTTTTTTGGGGTCATCCTAGTAGAATGTTTCAGCTATATCCAATATACGATATACGACATACCTTGGGGAAGGCCTTGACCTTTCCGCGGTGGCGAGATGCACGCTTTCGTGGCAAAAAGCCAAGAGAGCCATGGCGAGGAGCCTCGTACTGGGTTTTGAAGATATTTTGGAATTTATAACGTAGACACAGGACGTGCCAAGCGGGATGCACGAATAATTATCCGTCAGTGCCGCTCAAACCATCGTCTGTGAACTGTAGCTTTACCTTACGGTGACTAGGAATGGAGATTAGTAATCTTCAACCTCAACAGAACTAAAACCAACGTTACCTCATGTTTTGATGGAGGATCGGAGGAGGGGGAAGGT